GAGAGAGAGAGAGATACATGATGCATACATATGTACACACACACACTCACACACACACACAGACAGACACAGACACACAAACAGACATGTGTGCACACACAGACATACATACATGCATACATGCATACACATATATAGATACATACATACATCTTTCTGCTCTGCCTGCAGTGACACAAACATTGGTGATCTTCACCAAGATGTTCAACAAATCACGCGATGAAAATGCACAAATGGCGGATGCCGAGAGGAAAAAGTTGGAGAAGGAAGCATTGAAGGAACAGGCTGCTGCTGCTGCTGCCACTAAGAAAGAAGGGGATGGTGACCGAGATTCGCTTCGTCAGATTAATAGTAATTGGGTTCAAAGATCTTCTGCTTCCTAATCTAATTCATCTTTGTTCATCTGTTCTCTCATAAATGTGCAGAAATGTGTATATACTTGAACAATTTTCATAGAACCCCTTCAGGTTTTGGCAAATTTTATTACATCTAACCCATAATCTAGTGAGGCTAATGTAATTAGAAAGTGGAAATGCTAATCTTAAGATAGTTTACATATTTTTCTGGAACTCTATGGAATCTCAATGGCAAATTACTCCGTATATGGTAGAGATAGATATATCTTTCTTATGTTACACTATGTCAGTTTTGTAATTAAAAAAATATTTTAGAATAAACATTGCATTGTTTGAGAATGAACATTATACTGAGCAAGCTTCAAAATCAATACTATCGTTTAAAATGAACATTTTGTTGATACCCAGTTCTACATACAACTTGGTGTAGAGTATACATTCTCAATTTCAATGGGAGTTTAATGGGTTTAAATTAAGATGTTGATTTTTATAGAGATCACAAATTTTGGAAACTAGAAATTATTTGAATTTTCGGATTTTATTTCTTAAATTTGAATTCTTGGATTTCAAATCATGATATGTATGGATTTGTATTTGAATTTTGTTGTGAAATAGAGGGGTTTTGCCCAAATTCAAATCTAATTTTTTTGGATTTTCAAACATGTAATTTGAGTCAAATCTTAATTTTAAATTTTCAAACATCCCATAGATGCGTTGCAAAGAAATGTATTTAGAAAAGAGTAAATTTCATAAAAGGTCCCCAGTTATAGGTCGTTTTACATATTTAGTCCCTACATATCAAATATTACTAATTTAGTCCTCAATTATTATATTCATTTCCACGAATGGTCCTTTGTTAACATTTCAATTAAGAACGTGGATAAAATTCATATTAAAAAACTTATATGATGAATACTACGGAGTAATTTTTAAAAATTTAGAGCTCGTTGTTTAAAGTTTCATAATTAAGACTATTGATATTTTTTAATAAAACTATTTGTTTCTATTTTTTTACTTGCATATATTAGTACAGAGTATAAAAATATTTTGTTCCAATTTGTTACTCCTAGATATTTCTATTAAAAGAAATCTATCTGGTTAGGATTAAAAAAGTATGAAAATACCATAATAGAAATCCTAAGTCTTTTAAGACCAAATTAAGAGAATAAAAATAGTGTAATGTAAGAATACGTGTTAGCAGTGATGGTAAATTGATGTGAGTGTGATCAGTCAACAATCGGTGATTTGCGGTGTCACTCTGGTAGCTGGAAGCGACGAATGGTAGTTTGGTTGTGATAGTGTGACAATTATAATGTGACATTGTGGTAAGTGTGATAGTGTAGCAATGACAATGTGAACTCCTATTTTGATTTTAAAAGTTTTATATTTCTATTTTGATATTTTAATAATTTTTTATTCCTATGTAGAGATTTCTCTCTTCTACTAATGCTAGAATCTTACATACTACATCTTAAATTCAAAACATATGTACGTACATACAAGCAACTAAAACATACATACATCTTAAGGAAAATAAAAAATAGAGTTAATTTTTCGAAATTGACATTACTTTTTAGGAGGGGTGATGATGAATGAGAAGATAAGGTGAAGAAGATTGACTTATTTTAGGGGTAGTTTAGGTATTTTATTTTTAAAAGTTTACGAAAACAACTAACAGGCAACTTATTTTGGGACGGAGAGAGTAGTTTTTTATTCCTATCTAGAGATTTCTCTCTTCTACTAATGCTAGAATCTTACATACTACGGAGTACATCTTAAATTCAAAACATATGTACGTACATACAAGCAACTAAAACATACATACATCTTAAATTCAAAAAATACCCACTTAATTAAACAAATATAATATTGACCAACTAAAATATAAATACGAGTGATTGTTACTTGAATTAAAAACTAGAAATGCCTAAATATATTTTTAAACAGAACCTTTCATATTTTTTCTATTTTAAATATTCTATTCATTTAAAACGAATATTCGTTGGATATACCTAATTCTACGTATAGTCGGATGCACAATATTCATTTTCAATCTCAATGAGAATCTAATCGATTTAAATGAAGATTTAGATTTTTTTCTTAAATTAAAAACTAAAAAGTGCCTAAAGTATATTTATAGGCACAACCTTTCATACTTTTCCCATTTTAAAGACTGACCCTGCAAAAGACACTGTGATTAAGCAGAAGAAATATGATCTCTTCTCGCTGATATTTCCTTCATCTTTTCATTCTCTTTCTTGAGCAAATATATCCTCTGGGCCTCCGGCATTGCGACGATGATGGCCTGCAACTTTGAGTTCAAGTCTTCGATTTTTTCCAGAAGCCGATCGTTCGTGAACATCCCTTGAGCAACGCGAGTGATGGTTTTCCAGCTCTCCATTAATGGCAGAGCTATGATCACAGCTGATGCTATGCTGCCCCATGCTATGGCTACCACTGCCCACAATGTGAAGTACCCTTTCCTGAATACCCCTGTAGTCATTGACTTATTGCTGATAAGTAGTAGTAGTTTTTAGCTTTTAAGCGGCTTATAAGCTAAATATTATTTCGTGAAAGTAAAATGACTCAAATGATGGATAAGTCATTTGAAAATATTCATAAATGGTGAGAGACAGTTTTGTAAATAATCAGGTTAAAACAAAGAAACGAAAAAATTGACTTAAAAATAAGCATGTTATAAGCAGCTTATAAGACAGCACAGAGAAACATGTCATTAACTGACTTATAAGTTAAAAACTGCTTATAAGCAATTTTGAAAAGCTTATAAGAAACACCAACAAAATTACGCGACACCATATTTGACAAAGGATGAGTATGATTTGGCTTACCGGCAGGGAGAGTAAGGAGAGGCCACACCACAAGGATGACAAAGGTGAAGCAAACACCCCATTTGACAATCCATCTTCTAGCACTAGCCAGCTTCTCTTCCTCCAACTCCTCTTCCACTTCTTCACTCTTCTCCTTCTCAACAACACTTATCTTCTTGGTGCTCTCCCAGTCATAGTTCTGAGGCCTGAGGAAGCTGCAGAGAGCATGAACCGCCCCGCCGGTGAGAATGGACACCAGGTTCCCAGCAAGCATTGGGACATTGGGGATGTTTGGAGAGGATGAAGAAGATGGCTCACATGAAAAGCATTGTAAGGAGGAGAATGGATCCTCCTCTTCCCATCAATGCTATGGCTGTAGCAGGCGGAACAAGGCCACGGCTTGCCTCACTTTCTGTTAAGGGCAGATCAAGGGCAAGTGCCCCTAAACCAAGGGATGTTGCCAAGGAGAAGGGCACTGCAAACCACACCAACCCACCCAATAAGTACCCCTTGTGTGTCGACGATGGCCTTGCTGCAATGGCACTCACCCAGTATCCCTATCGAACCCGTCAGTCATTCCGCGAATATTTACAAAAAACAACTCATGAAGTAAAGATTGTAAACCACATGTTTCCAATGAACAACTCACATTGTCGACGAAAACAGTGCCGAAATTGCCAACAATGTTGATGATGCCAAACACAAGACCACCAGAACTAAGCATGGTCACATATGAGCCCTTAAAGTTGCCAATAACCGGACCGCAAGACTGGCCAACACCAGAGAGTGGGTATTTGCAGATTCTTGATCTGCTCGCGACCTCCAAAAGACGTTCGTATACTAGGCCAGGGCTACCGAGCTCGCTGCTTGCCACATACACAAGGTATACAAAGATGACTAGAACTACATGAACTGAAAAGGTCAAAAGAAAGTGCACTTCGCGGTTAATAATATTAGAGTTAACAATAAAGAGAAACACCAATGGGAAAAGGGTTAAGGAATACATATGAATCGATTGCAGACCTGTGGCAGAATGTATATAGCTGGCCAAGAAAGTGGCCTTTAGCTCTCCAGCTAAAGTATACACAACAACCCCAAGAGGGATGAGAAAGCTTGCGGCGTAAATGTTGACTCCAGTGAGGGCATTGACCACGGCAGAACCACCAAGGAGAAGCATGGCAGTCACAATTATGTTTGTCAAGAAGCAGAAGCATAGGAACACTATATGAGCTGCAGTCCCCCATCTGAAGGGCAAAACCGGAAAATTCAACAATTATTTTCAAAAATTTGTAGGGTTTCATTTTCCAAAGCCTGTTCTTTTTCGACTGAAATGGCAGATTTTGAGTAGGGGAGGGAGAAACAGGCCTGGCTTTCACAATTTCACAAACGGTGTGGGCATTAGGAGCTTTCCTTTTTATCTCAATGGCCATTACACCAAACAGGAGAACCTGCTCGTTGTTGAGGATCAACATATTATTAGTGTTTGCAATGTGTTCCATTTCCAACTGTTGGATTAAACACGGGGCAACATGTATCTAGTAGTTTCACCAGGTTTTAGGCAAAACCTGAATGGAAGCGCCGCTCGCGTACCAGAAAGGACCGCTTATTCCATACTGCCACGCAACGTTCGAACTCTGTAAGATTGTTGCAGCCCATGTCCACTGCACAATCAAATGGTTTGATCACTTCTAACTAGCTGCATTTTACACTTATGCCCCTTGTGTTTGGAAAAAAGTTTTCACAAAGTTTAAATCTCAACCCCACGGTGCCGGGTCAAGTGTGGAATCTTATTCCGGTAAGGAGACAGAGAGAGGCTAAGCAATGGTTGGTACCTGAGAGACAATGACACTAGCAATAAGCCCAGTTTTCACATTCCTCCCTGCAGTGTTGAACCACTCTGAAGTGTGGCGTGACCCAACATATCTCTTTTCCAGCCAGACCTATTACCATTTTCCACAGTAATCCAATGTCTTACTATATGTTAGGGTCCTCCTATGATGGGTGCTCCCATGCTTTGCACCAGACACATAGATAATAATCCTGTGTACGATGGTGGCACCCATGTAGTGGCAACCTGGCTTTATTCTACTTCCTCTGTCAAAGGATTCCACAGTTTGACCAAAAAAAGTCAAACTGTGACAATCTTTTAGGACGGAGAGAGTATATGATTCACACTTCACAGTGGATCATTTTTTTTCCCTCAATAATGCTAGAAATAACATCGCCTTTGACACCACCACAGATCACAATCTTGCACATTTAACTACGTGACACATTTAGGCACGGTGGTGATCCGCGGTGTCAGAGTTGGTGCAATTATAGCATGTCACATTGGGCATGTTATAGTCACACACCAAGTTCGACATGTGTGTGCAAAGACACCCCGGGTGGATTTCATGGTTTAGCCGGTGTGAAATTAATAAGGTGTTTGGATCAATGTGAGTGAGTAGGGATGGGTGGGTACCAGAAAATATGTATATTTGGAATTGATAGGACCAAAAATGAATTAGAATTGGAGAATTCATTTTCATCCAAATAAATTCCATATAATTTCAATTTCCAATTCAATTTCAATTTTGTCATTTTTGTGTACCAAACAGACTCTTAGATTTTCAAACATGAAATTTATGTCAAATCTAAATTTGAAATTCAAATTTATGTTTTCAAAGAGACTGTAAAAGAACTCGCATTTGCCATTTTGCCCCTGAAGTTACCAACCGTTTCAAACCAACACTAAAAAATCATAGCGTACATGTTTATGAACATGCTTATGTGTGGATGGAAGGGCAAACACAGGTAATTAAGCTTTGATCAATGTTTTTCAAATTTTATTTCAATACAACAACAAATTACAAACCTAATACGGAGTATAATATCCTCTTTTTAATCTGTTTCTTCTTCTTCTTCTCCTCCTCCTCTTCTATGGAGTTACCAAGTCAAGGATTCTGCGCTGGCTTTTGATTCCCAACTCCATTATTTGGAACTCTATAGTCCCACTCTCCCACATCTCACATTTTTGAAAACTAGTCAATTACGGAGTATTTAGATTTCTATAATCCCACAAATTATCAAATCTACTTATTAGTATTAGGATAAATTTCATAATTAGTTTTTTATAACAATTTTCTATTATCAAATTTTACCCCGTAGTCTTTTTTTATGAGTGTCTTTCCACAAATGATCATAATTTAAATTTTCTGTCATATTGGTATTAATTTAAATACTAATTCTATAATTTGACATCAACCTTATGTCCGGTGACGTATTATGATATTGGTTAGACGAATAACATAAAAAATAATGACTATAAATATGAGATAGGATTTTGACGAAAGACTACATCTGTATACTATGGTGGTTGTAGTAGAAAACAATTATAATTCAAACAACGCATTAGGAGCGACCTTTGGAAAATATGCAAAATTTCATTTCTTTTAATATAACTTTATCATTATTCTAAACCGAATTCATGTGTATGAAAATACTTGAATTTATAAATTTATCATTATTAAAATTTTATTTTTTTCAAATTGCACTTGACTTAAATTTATACTGTGGGAATATTTTAAATTAATTAATCCTCTATTTGGGCTTAATTATTTCTTATACCTGAATATTTATGTCCAACTCTACTATGAGTCTTTTTTTTTAAACAATGTCAAGAAATTTTGTTTAATTTGTTGAGATACATAGAATTTACACAATTTTATCTTATAAAAACATTTTTCTAAAACGAAATATATCAAAAGTATAACTAATCAAAATTGTTGAATAATTTTAAAAATATATTTTCATTAATCATTTAATAAAATGAAAATGTTAGAATCTCAAACAAATAGTTCACAAACGTTATAAACCTGTCTTTTGTGAATTTTTAATTAAAATATCTTTTACTATTTCAGTGTATCTTATTGCTATGAAATATTAAAAAAGCTAGTTTGTTATTGGTTTATAACTCTAGCATTATTTTGAATAAAATAACATAATTTCAGATCTTTTGATAGGTGGAAAAAAAAACAAAATTAAAAAAGAAAGTACAATGATGAAAAGTGAATCATGGAAAAGGAAATAAAAAAGTCAATTTACATTAAACATTGTCGTATTAGCAATACATATATATAAGCCAAGAAAAAATATCTTCTATAAATAAACAAGAAAAGGATTCCAAGTTTATATTTTGGAAAAATTACCCAAAATAATCCCAACTTTACCTGGTCTTTTAAAAATAATCTCACCTTTCACTGTGATGCATAATAATCCCAACTTTACTGAAATTTGCCAATTTTGGGTCGCCGTTAAGTTTCTAACGGAGGGTTAACGGAAATGCCCGTTTTGGGCAACAAAATGAAAGTTGGGATTATTTTTGATGAATTTTCATTTTTTTCATTTTTTTTTAATTTTTTATTTAAATTTTTTAAATTACTTTCTACCTCCATCATCTTTTCTTTTTCCTTTTTTAAAGATTAGTCTTAGTTTAAAAAATAAAAATAATAGATATAAAAAATGAAAAAATGAGAAATGTAACTAAAATGATACAAAAATAATAAAATAAATAAGGTAATCAATGGAAACTAACTTGAAATTGGTAAGAGTAAAATAAAAATATACGGGTGGGTTTTACTATTTTACGTTTTATACAAAGTATTAACATATCACTACTTATTTTTTAGAAAAAATTATCTACAATAATTCCAATTTTACCGGACGGCTTGTTCTTTTAAAAAATAAGTAGTATATTAAGACTTCGTATAGTGTGTAAAATGTTAAAACTCACAACTCCGTATATATTTATTTTATTTCTTACCAGTTTCTGTTTAATTTCTATTGATTACATTATTTATTTGATTAATTTGTATTGTTTTAGTTATTTTTGTCATTTTCATTATTTTTATATCTATTTTTTTTCTAAGGTAAGAATAATCTTTAAAAAAGAAAAAGAAATGGAGGTTGAAAGTAATTCAAAAAATTTAAATAAAAATTTCAAAAAAAAAATTAAAACATAAAAATTCATGAAAAATAATCCCAACTTTCATTTTGTGGTCTAAAACGGGCATTTCCGTTAACCCTCCGTTAGAAACTTAACGGCGACCCAAAATTGGCAAATTTCAATAAAGTTGGGATTATTATGCATCACAGTGAAAGATGGGATTATTTTTGAAAGATCGGGTAAAGTTGGGATTATTTTAGGTAATTTTTCCTTATATTTTTAATACTTTACTTGGTAAGTTCTTATGTGATCTTTGGGTCCGGATTCATTTTATGGATATTAATGTATAAGGCTCTGTTTGGCATCAGCGTTAGCTATTAGCGTTAGCGTTTTGAAAAGGCTATCCGACGGTAGCCTTTAGAGTTAGCGTTTTCGGAATTAATCTATACCATTAAAATTTTATCCAAAACGCTAACGCTAATCGAAAACGTTGTTCCCAAACAAAGCCTAAATACGATTAAAGAGTTGAGCTTTTTGCAAATTAAATTTTTTTTACTTCTAAGCTCATGAAAAGTGTGAGATGATATAGGCTTAAGTTACATATATAGAAGTAGAACTTTTTATTTGTCTCAATTTAAACTTTCTGTTTTCATTTATGATATTTGATTAAAATTATTTTAATTTAATTTTCATGAGAAATGGATTGAAATTAAAAAAATAAAATTTACTTGTGTATATTTAAAAATTACACTAAATAGTAATATGACTACATTATTTTACGAGTATAAAATAAGTAATAAAAAGTACTTTACAAAATACTTGTAGATAATTTCTTTTTCTCTCAATGACCGTCCGTTCAGATTTGATGGAATATAATCCTCGAAGATGGAGCTCATCTTTTATAAAACAAATAATAAAAAAGATAAAGAAAATAAAAAAAAACTTGACTTCATAAATAACAATGTTGCAAATTGACCATAAAAAATTGACTTTATAAAGAAAAAAATTCATTTGTCCAAAAATATTCTTCTTATTTAACTTTGTACGATCTTCAATATTGCATTTTGGCCATTATTATCTTTTTTTTATATTTTGACATAGTTTATAAAAATTTAATATTTAAAAACTAGGTTTTAATGAAAATATATTGATATTAATTTATATTACTTCGTATAATACATTTTATTTTTTCCATACAGAGAGTTAAAATTTACAAAACTTAATTTTTAAAAATCAAATATGGTGAACATATGTGGACATTGAGAATAATTGAGAACGGAGGAGTATACCGTCAAATTCTTACCAATAAGTCGAGAAACTTCCGTGAAGATGCATGACCTCAACTTTCTTGGCTTTCACGGCAGCGGCATTTTTGACGTTTGATTTTTCGCACCCAATTCGACTCGATCCCGATTCTTTGGACCGAATTTAATTTCAATTTTTTCTCTCCTAAATATCCCACCGCCTCTTGGCCCATTTTAAAATATCCAACCCCACTTTCCATGCCCATATTCGCTGGAATATATAGGGGAAAAGAATTTCTTGTTCTCCAAGCCAAACTTTCCGAACTTCTCGCAAACCCAACAAAAACCCTTTCCCCATCCCTTTTTCCTGCAATATTTTCTGATTTCTCTGGTTTGATCTCTCTGCAAAACAAGATGATGATGAGTCGCGGCGCTAGGCGGCACGCCGGATCGGTCTCCCGCTATTTCTCCACGGCGGTTCTCCGCCCGGCGACTGCGGCAGCCATGGATGCCGGGATCGGAGGCGCCTTCCGCGCCGGGAATCCGACTATGGCTTCTGTGGAGACGCGGATGGGATTCCCGGTTACTGGATCGAGGCGGATGAGTACGGTGGCTCTCGGCGACAAGCAGCAAGACGAGAAGAAGATCGAGGGAAGCGCTGGCGGCGCCGCCGCAACCAATACCGGCCCTAGTGGCGGGGAAATTGTTAGTTATTGGGGCGTTGCGCCGTCTAAGGTTTCCAAAGAGGATGGGACAGAGTGGAAGTGGAGCTGCTTCAGGGTAAGTAATTTGGCTAATTTCGATTTAATTACCATCGGATCTCTGTTTTTAATTTGTGATTTCGTTTGAAAAATTCTCGGTTATGTTGAATTCTCGATCGGATGAAGCCATGGGAGACGTACAAGGCAGATTTGAACATAGATCTGAAGAAACACCATGTCCCCGTCACATTCTTAGACAAGGTCGCGTACTGGACCGTCAAATCTCTCCGATTACCCACTGATATCTTCTTTCAGGTCAGATCCTAAGACTGATTATCGTCATAGAATTGATAATTCCTCGAAATTTCCATGTGAATTCAATTTAGAGTCTGAAGATGTAATTGGAATGTTACAGAGGAGGTATGGCTGCCGTGCAATGATGCTGGAGACGGTGGCCGCCGTGCCTGGTATGGTTGGAGGGATGTTGCTCCACTGCAAGTCTCTCCGGCGATTCGAGCGCAGCGGGGGATGGATCAAGGCACTCCTGGAAGAAGCGGAGAACGAGAGGATGCATCTCATGACATTCATGGAGGTTTCGAAGCCCAAGTGGTACGAGCGGGCCCTGGTGATCTCCGTTCAGGGCGTCTTCTTCAACGCTTACTTCTTGGCCTACATCATCTCCCCCAAGCTGGCTCACCGCATCGTCGGGTACCTGGAGGAAGAGGCTATTCATTCGTATACAGAGTTTCTCAAGGAGCTTGACAAGGGTAATATCGAGAACGTCCCTGCTCCGGCCATCGCTATTGACTACTGGCGCCTCCCGCCGAACTCCACTCTCAGGGATGTTGTCATGGTTGTCCGGGCTGACGAGGCCCATCACCGTGATGTCAACCACTTCGCTTCTGTAAGTCTCATTTTACCACGCTTATTTACTGTTTCATGAATTTGTGTTTGAGCTTTGTTGGAATTGAAGTTATATGAATAGGGCTCAAATCTAAATCAAATATGTTTACGCTTGGTGGAGTTCACGAAATTCAAGTTATAGAATAGAAATTGAGGATAACAATTTTAATTTTTTGGTTTGTTAATACAAAAATATGCAGATTTAGAATTGGTAGTGCAAAAAATGTATTAGAATTGGAGAATTCAATTTCATCTAGATCAATCCCATAGAGTTTCAATTTCCAATTTAATTTCATCAATTTCATGTACCAAAATCCTTAGATTTTCAAACATAAAATTTATGTCAAATCTAAATTTGAATTTCAAATTTATGTTTTCTAAGAGACTTTGTCATTTTGCCCCTGAACTTGCCAACCATTTCAAACCAACAGTAACAAATCATAGCGTGCATGTTTATGAACATGCTTTTGTGTGGATGGAAGGGCAAACACAGATAATATAGCTTTGGCCAATATTTTTCAAATTTTATTTCAAATTGATTGTTTTGGATGAGTTGTGTATGAGGATATCGAATTGATAATACTACTTTGACCCTATGTCATAAAGACGCTCACAAACATCAATAGTCTATTGCACAGACTGTGTGATACATGAGGTCAAAGTAATGTCACTATTTGGTGTTCATCTAGCTTTATTGGTGTTTGATAGCCCATTGATTTGATGCATCAAAACATCATAGATAGTAACGTTTTTACAATCCAAAACTTTGTAGGTAGTAAGAAACAATAAAAGTTCAATGTGTGCCAAACATATCTTGTATTAGTACTACTAATTACTCAATGTCACTTGGTCCTGATACTTTTCAATTGATGTTTGGACCAAAAAATAGTTTGTATAAGACTTGGCTAGAAGTATTTCGTACCCCAAATGCACAAAAAAAGGGTTTAATGGTTTAGGGCACGATTTATAACACTCGTTTTTCTTATATTACGGGATAGCCAATGTGAACACATATGTTCTCACTAGAAAAGGGGTAGTTTTTAAAATAATACTAGTACTTCGGGTATGTTTTTTTATCAAGATCTTGACATGCTTCAAATTTATGTTATTTGATTTATTTCAAGAATATGTTGCACGAATTTATATACTCCCTAATTAGAAGAATTGGTTTGCAGGACATTCATTACCAGGGACAACAACTCAAGGACTCTCCGGCTCCTCTTGGGTACCATTAAAAGTAAGGAACTCTATGATCAATGACAATACTCAAGAAGATTTGTTTCATTATTTTTTTTTAATTGCGGGTTTTTTATGGATGGTCTTGCTCAAACTGTATCACAGTTATATGGTGCATGAATATGTCGTGAATTGTTAAATAAATCATCAAATTGTCAACGTTAGTGGGTTTTAGTTGTTATTAAGTTGAGCAACAAGTTTAGGACTAAATCCACCTCTAATTGTGCACGGAGAATATTTTTTTCTGTGGCAAACGAGGATTTAAGTCACACGATTGACATATCCTTAAAGTGTGGAGAATTTTAAGGCAACGAAAGACTCATTAGTTCTAAACTTCTAACATTTGATTCTCTTTTACCTTGTTCTAGAATTAACCATTCATTTTTTCATGCACAATGTATCTTTTAATAAATATATGATTTTACCTTTTTTCCATTCAAATATTATTTTTTTAAACACTAATAACTTTATTACGATGAAGTATCTATTCAAAAAAAATTCAATATATTCCGTCATATACAATCTTCATTCTAAACTAATCATTTAACTTCATTTTTTGAATGAAACTTATGCAATTGATAGTTATTGTTCATTCATTTTGGTTTAAAAAGTTAAACTAGACAAATAATCTAAGACAATGAGTACTTTGTATTTATTATCTTCCATTTTGATTTGAGAAAACCCCCTAAATAGAATTTCAAAAATGAAAATAGCAAATTAGGAGTAGCACTCTGTTTGTGACTTAAGTATGAGTTCAAATTGTTACTTCTACATTTCACACTGTTACACTTCCACGCAACACAACTAGTGGAGTGTTGCGACCAATTGCTAGATCGTTGTCGTTAGCATTGACCATTGTTGACTAGTAGTCCGCAATTACATTGCAACTATTTAAACTGATGTATTGTCATGACAGTGCCACCACTAACATTATCAAACTTCACTTTAAATGATAAAGACAATGTTACTCTCATTTTAGTACAGACTATTATTTATGACATTTTGTTTCTATCTAGAGATATTTCATTTTATTTTTATCAAACTAAAAAAGCAATCATGAACATTTATATAATTTTCTTTAAACTTTAAATTCATTGTATATCTTTGTATCAATTTCACAAGAGATAATCTTGAGATATGCGAAGAGTTCGTAAAAAATGAAAATCAAGCTTTTGTTTTGCACAACAGCATTCAATATCTTTTTTTAACAAAGTACTATCTTTATTACCCACAACTCAAGTTATAGAATGAAACAAGCACATCAAAGCCAACTACAACATATACACATCACATCTAATTCAAAATAACTTGCAAATGATATTTAGTGCTAGCTATAGTCTCCCCCTCCTTCATCTCTTCGTGATAAAGCTTAGTATTTCGAGCCTACCAAATAGAGTAACAAATCACTATCATATTCGCCGATCTCATCTTCATAATCTTCTCTCCAATATCCTTGAGCTTGGCACCTTTAACCCTACAACTTAACCATCCAAAAATGTTTGAAGAAACTCGTTGAGAGTAGCTACACTTACAGAAAAGGTGTTCAATATCTTCATCCTCCTTCTCACATAGTAAACACCTTACATCAATATTCATAAAATTTTTCAGTCTCATTCGAGTTTGGAGTCTCCCTTTCATGATCAACCAAAAGATTAACTTATGTTTGGGAACCCCTTTTTTATTCCAAACCCACTTATACCAAAAGATAAACTTATGTTCTTCAAGTATCTTGAATGAATTTAGCGTACCCACAAAATTTCCTTATTATGGGCTATGTCCCAATTCAACTACATGATGTTTGCCTTATTCCAAATAGCCACATTTCAAATTTCAAGTCCTCTTGCTTCCTTAGGTAAACAAGTATCCTCCCATTGGATGAGAGGTGCTTTCCTAGCCCTCCCCCCCCCTCCCCCCCACAAGAAGTTTCTGCAAATGATATTGATTTTCTTCAAGACAACTTTTGGAAGGATGAAAATTGTGGACCAGAATTTTATGACTCCCTTGAAAACTGTTTTGATCAAGTTTACTCTCCTAGCATAAGAGATATTCTTAGACCTCCAGCAAGTGATTTTTTCAACAATATTTTCCGCTAGTCTATCACATTCCCTGCTAGAAAGCTTTGTTGTTGTCATTGGACTTCCAAAATAAGCAAAAAGTAACTTCCCCTTTGGCATATTTGTAATTTCCAAACTATTCATCTGAATTGGCTCCTTACATACACCACACACCACCTGGGATTTCTCACTAAGAATCTCTTAGTGAGTAACCAACTCACTCTCACTTTGAGAAAAATGAGATTTTCTCACTATTAATCTCCATATTTCTTTCCAATTATTTTGGATTGTAAGAGACTAAGAATCTCAATAGTGACCTGTGGTGGAGATTTTCAATTTTGTTTTGTCTAACACTGCTAATGAGGCGTCACATGTACTCGCGTGAAAATCTCATTTTTCTCAAAGTGAGAGTGAGTTGGTTCACCCCAACAACATTTCGAGTTTAATTTAATCCCATTTGGTTTTTTTTTAAAGCCAATCTTTTGAAGAGAACAAGTCGGGCCGAACAATTTCTGAATTGACATTTCGTAGGCCCACTAAGATTTTTATAGTTGGGCATGTGTGCCCGATACATATGATATGGGCTTTAAAAATAAAACTTCTTACCTTGGCTTAAATAAATGGGTGACAAATTTGATGAAATAAAACTTCTTACCTAGGCTTAAATAAATGGGCTGACAAATTTGATGAAAATATCGAACGCCAACAATATCTATTGGTTCTCTAATAGTATACTCAACGGTACTTTTATGGAGAAATAATTTCAAGTAATTCTACTTTTGGTGGTTTGCTAAAAATAAGAATAAAGGTAAGAGTACATCAAAATTGTGATATACCATATTTGTACATCAAGCAAATACAGACACTAAGCATATCGAACACTAGATATTTATTGTCTATGTTGTCTAGTGCATAAATGGGTTCGTCATTTTGGTTTACTCCTAGCATGACCGCCAAAATTATAGTTGCATTAAATTTAAATATTTTCATCAAAACCTCACTCCCAAGCACTATCAAAAAACCTTCTTGATTCTTCACACTTCTTTGATTGCCAAATGAGACATCCACATACCTTATTTATACTTAGAGCAAAGGCAATGGCGTGTAAATGAAATGGCACGCTTGCCGGCTCGGACAAAAATCTCTCTTTGCCTTGCACGCATACCGTTCCTCCATGGTTTCCAAGTAGGCTGCGAGGCACTTTTGTTGTCTACTAATCATCTATTTTCTTTGTTGCCACGCCCATGTGCATACATTTCCTTGACTTTTTTCTTTGTTTTTTTGTGGCGTAATACAAATTTTTTAAAAGTAGAATTATTTTATTTTTTAGAAAGAATTTTTTTAGATGTAGTGGAACTATTTTTTTGATGTTGTTTTTTAATTTGTAAGTTTTACTTTTATTCTTTTACCAATTTTAAATAAAATGATTATAAAAAACAAAGAGTTTTGCATCATAATTCTAAAATGTAATCTAATTTGAGACGGAGGGATAAATAAAAATATGGAGCATATAAGAAAAATAATTTTTATTAATTAAAATGCATTTTAATAATGTCATTTGTTTAGTAAATATAAATATTTTTATGTTAAAATAAATAGGTGAATATTTTTTAATAATTCAAATATTGCAAGAAAATGAAAAAGGTAATAAAAATAGTGGCTTGCCACTGCAGGACATGCCACTCTACTCAATTGCCACACGCTGGCTAGACTATTATTCATTGATTGAAATGCTCCACGTCAGCGTGTGACATTCCAACTTTGCCTCACCATTACTCATGCTCTTATTACCAATGCTAGGCTTCTTTGAAATAATATACACATATCTAGAATCTTATAGAAAGTCACTACAATCTTCTATAATGTTTTAGATATGGCGTACCGATGCGGATTTTTTATTTCTTGTTTATTTTTTGGTTTTTTCAATTTTTTCCTTTATTTGTTACATTTAATAATAAAGGTTTTTTAAAATAATTGTTATAATATTCTTAAAATTTAAAATTATTTTTATTCGAAAAAATTAACATATAATGCATCTGTACATCACAAATTAATAATTTTTGTTTTTTCGAAAAAATGAGGAATAAAATAAGAATCAAAATAATACAAAAATAAAAATGAATATCCTTGTTTGACATCTCAATTCTAATAACTTTTTTAGGCGTGTTTACAAATTTGTTTTTTGTATAAGACTCTTTTTTCGTATTTTAATTTTTTTTCATTTCGTTTTTCTATATTTTTATTTTTTTATTCAGGGTTTTCTTTTTGAAATTTCCAAAAAATTATTCTAAGTAACCAAAAGTGAAAACCTTTAATTTGATATAGATGTAATGTATGTTAATTTTTTTTAGTTTTATTTCAAACACAAAGAATTTTAAAATTTTTAAAACATTATGAAAAATTGAAAAGAAATTTAAAAAATCTAAGAAAAGGAAAAAGAGGTAGAAAGTATTCAAAAAAAGAAAAACAAAAATAATAAACAAAAAATAAGAAATGAGAACGAGTGTACCCTATGGTTTAGAAATTATGCGTCGATACCGCCTATTCGTCGGAAAATGGTCAGAAAATGATCAGAGAAAGCGTGGATGCAACATTTTGAAATCACAAAGACTTTAAAGTTATGTTTTAAAAACAAAGAAAATATTGATATTAATTTTCCAAATCATATGAGCCACCATAGCTATTTGGCTCTCATTTTTTGTAGGGTATAACACAGATGGTATATTCGGTAGTATAGAATCAAGAATGTTGTATGTGAGTACGTGGCCGGTGGGCCCAAATCTTAATTTCAGATATGCTCGTATCCATTTGCATGTCATGTGGACCTTGTCTTGTTTGTTCAATCCTTTTATTTTTTTCTAATCTTATCCTTTTTCTTTTCCTTTTGAGTTATGGCGTTTATCCGTGTTCCCAAATCCCAACCCGGACCGGATCGTACGGGAATGGGACCGGACTGAGATTTTAAAAGGAAAAAAAACTATTCATTAATTAATATACGGGTCACTATTGCAGATTTGTATGTGTGTTTTCGTAGTACTCCGCCTTCTTAATATTTTATGTAGTACTCCGTATATATATAATTGGACTCATTTGTATTTTTAACACTAATATTTTATGGTAC